GGGGGGATGAGGAGCGCGCTACGGACACTGCAGCTCACCACCAGGTACCAACCAGAGCATCGTCAGCCCCCAAATAGGGAAAGTGACTGCCTCTTTCTCACCTAAATTAAAGAGTTTTAAAGAGTTAACCCCAGAGATCATCATAACTTTTTCTTCTCCTATTTAAGATTTGCTGAGTGCCAGGTGAGGATGGAAGGGCCCTTCCCACTGCCCAAAGGAGTCTGTCCCCAGCCCTTTGGTCCTTTAGGATGAGGCCACCCGCCCCTCTAACACATCCCCCAGGCCCCATGGGGTGTCCTGCTGCAGGAGGGCTGACAGCTGCCCTTCCAGGAGAGGTGCTCTGGGTGCCTTACCTAGGAGCAGAGGGGTTGGGGGCACCCATGGGAAGGGGTGCAATAGCCAAGACACCACCAGTAGACTTGGTGTAGCAGAGCCACGCTGCAGCAGAGGCAGAAAAATCACTTCAAAACTTAAAAACACCACTTTGGAGATTTATTAGAAAGCCCACGGCTCAGATTCAGTAAAAACAAGCATCAAAAGGGCTAGGGGAGGCATGAGGGTACAGCAGCATCCCCAGTCGCTGGCTGGTGGCCGAGTTGCAGACGTGTGCCAGGACCCACAAGCAGCCAGGGCCGCGTCCTTCCTGCTGCCCAGGGGGGCTTCAGCCGAGCAGGGAAGGCGAGCCCAGCCCCAGGTCACATCCAGCACCACGCTGGTCCCCCCGTGAAGGCAGGGTGACGTGCTGGTGGCCGTGGGGCTGGAAGGAAAAGCACAGGAGACCGCTACAGGGCCTTGGCGGGACCCGCTGCCACCCTATACCCCACATGAGACTCACCACCGTGTGGGTGCCCGGTGGTCCCGGCTCTCGCAGAGGGCATCAGGGTGGGTTTGGAGCCCGGAGGAAGGCACGGAGGGAGAGTTGTGTCCCGGGGCGGGTGCTGCCCCCTGCCCCTGGCTTCGCGCCCCGCTTCCGCTTGGAGCCCTGCGGGAGAGGGGCTGGGGCTGAGCCAAACCCCGAGGACCCCCCCCAGGGAACACCCAGGGACAAAGCCAGCTTGGCAAATCCCCCCCAGCCCACAGGACAGCTCCTGCACACCCACCTTGGCAGGGCCGCTCTCCTCCCCGCGCTGCCGCTCGCACACCTTCAACACCTGAAAGGAGCCCAGGAGAGCCCAGGGCTGATCAGCACCCAGGGCAACGAGCTGGGAAGTCCCCGCAGGGGTTAGGGGGTACCCCAGGTGCTCTCAGGACCCCAGGAGATGGAGGGCAGGGAAGTCCCAGCTCTCCCCAAACACCTTCTTCATGGCTGTGGACACCGCCGAGGCACGGAACTCCTCCTCTGTGACCCAGCGGGACGGGGAGGAGGCAAGGTCCAGGGTCACGTCCCCGTCCAGGGGCAGGGAGTACACCACATAGGTCTGGTGGATGTGAGAGAAGACGTGGACAACCTGCAAGGGGAGGGGGAGACACTGAAACTGGCAGAAGAGCCGGGCAGGGTGTGGGAGCGGTGCCAGCAGGGGACAGGGTCCCCCCTCCCGTGCTGCATCCCCCATCGCTGAGCACGTGGGGCTTGCCCCACGCCCCACACTCACCTCCCCCATGAACTGCAAGCTGCCCGCTGCCACAGGCTGCCCCGTCCACGCCTGGAGGTGATCCCGCAGCACCTCCCTCTGCTGCTCCTGCTGCAGACCCGGAGCCAGCGGCACGCTGGGGAACTCCCAGAGCCCGGCCAGGAGCCCTGGGGAGAGGGGACACGAGGGACATGAGCCAGCAGGAGGTGCACCCAGGGGTGCCGAGCCTCTCACAGCCCCAGCACTCCCTGGCTGCTCTGCCCAGGTGCTTTTTCCCCCTCTCCCACCCGCCTGGGTACCCGAGCTGGGTCTCTGCACGATCAGGTACTCCAGGGCCCCGCGGTGGCCCCTGCGCTCCAGCACGCACGTGGCCGTTTGCTCCACCCGCGGCTGCTTCTTCGCTGCTTTGCGGGGGAAGCTGGTCACCCCCAGGCTGCTGTCCCACGGCTCTGCGGCTGGGGGGCACAAGGGACAGTCCCCAACAGCTGCAAGCACCAACACAAAGGTCACAGCAGGGCCCAGACCCGGAGCCACCACCGCCAGGATCAACCCCGGTGCTTACCGCAGTCCTCGACATCAGGCACCGGGGGGAGTTTTCCCAATAACTTCCGAGAGGCCAAGGCCAGCTCCTTCTCCACCTGAGGGGACAGGAGAGGGGACAGCTGGCAGCCCACAGCCCCCAGCAGGCTGGGAGGGGACGGTTTTTGGTGCCACACCTACCCTGAGCCTGGCTCGGCAGTGCTGCTTCACAGGGCACTCCCCGCACAGCGGCGCCTTGGGCGTGCACACGGTCGCCCCCAGCTCCATCAGGGCTTGGTTAAAATCCCCCGGGCGGCTCCTGTCCACCAAGGCATTGGCCATGGCCCTGCGAGAAACAGCAGTGAGGGGCAGGGGGCCCCCAAAAACAGCATGAATTGCAGCTCCTGCCCGCGAGGGGAGGATGCTCCTGGGCAGGCAGAGGCCATGCAGGTCCTTTGCCCCAAGCTTCCCAAGAGCTCCTGCACCCCTGGCCTCCCCCTGCTGCAGGTTCAGCTCCCGAAGGATCCTGCCCTCAGCCACCACGCGAAATCCCTCCGGGCTCCCCTACCAGAGGCGGTCGATGACGGGCGGGCTGCTGGGGTCAGCGCCGATGCAGCGCAGGCGGCAGAGGACACGGATCACGTTCCCATCCACGACACCCGTCGCCTGCAACCAGGAGCAGGGGTTACCACTTGCACCACAACGCCAGGAGAGCCGGGCACAAAGCTCAGGGAGCCCCCAACTCACCAGACCCAGCAGCAGGACCCGGCCAGGAGCGGGGCTGGGTGGCAGCGAGGGGAGATGTGTCCCTGCTGGACACCGAGAGCTCTCACCTGCCCGTAGGAGATGGAAGCGATGGCTCCTGCCGTGTATCGGCCCACTCCTGGCAGAAGTTTCTGCAGCTCCTCGGCTGTCCTGGGCATTTGGCCAGCAAGCTCGGACACCACCTGGGAGACAGGGCAGCCAGGGCACTTGAGCTGAGCGCGTAGATGTGACCCACAAGAAGGGGTCCCAGCCACGTAGCCTTGTGCCAGCAGCTCGCAGCCCCAGCGAGGCAAGGCAGACGCGAGCCAGCACCCACCCAAACACCCAACACCCCAGCACCTTCCTCGCTGCCTCCTGCAGACGCTTTCCTCGGGAGTAGTAGCCGAGTCCTGCCCACAGCTCGTTCACCTCCTGCCCCAAAAGGCACAGAGCAGAGTCAGATTGGGCACGGAAAGAGCCACGAGGGCAGGGAGAGCACCCAGCCCCAGCGCTCCTCACCTCCAGCGACGCCTCTGCCAGCGCCTGCAGCGTCGGCCACTTCTGCAGAGCAGGGGGAAGGTGACAAGGGAGGGACGAGCACGGCCGTGCTCTGCCCCTGGGGTCTGCCACAGGCAGAGGTCAGGGCCACCAAATCAGGGACCTGCGGGCACCCTGTGAGGAGCACTCACCTGCATCCAGCGGTTGTAGTAGTCGATCACCGTAGCCACCTGCGTCTGCTGGAGCATGATCTCGGATACCCACACTGCCGGCAGCACCCAGGGGTCAGAGCAGAGGTGCCAATGCCACCCTGCACCCCTCACAGCACGGGCTGTGGCCACCCCAGTACCGCAGCAGCATCCAGCCCACCAGACCCCATCCCACCAGACCCCATCCCCAAGCACGGTCCCACAGGAGCTCCCTCAGGCCCAAGGCTGCCTCTCAGACGCCCCAGAGCCACACGAATGGGGCTCAGTGGCTCCTGTGGCCATGTCAGGGGCCCAAGCAGCTTGCTGTAAGGATGGAAGCTGAAGCCACAGATCCTCACAAGGCCACATTGTACGTCCAGGTCAGTAACAACAAAGGGTGCAGCCCCTGCTCCTCACCTGCATACGCCCGTCTGTTGACATCCGGCTCAGTCACAGCCTGAAAGGGGAAGAAAATAGAGCATAAGAAACGGGGACACAGCACCCCAGCACAGGGAGACCTGCATGTGGAATAAAATTGCTCATGGTGTGTTTTGAACGCTATATAGGAGTATAGGAGCTATATATAGGAGCCCCCGGTGCCGAGGGCTGGGCTCCCCGCCGCAGCAGCCCCGCCCGCCCTTACCAGCGCCCTCCAGGGCAGGTCCCTCTTGCTCTGGTCGTACCACGCCAGCAGCCTGCCCCGCAGCGCCTCCACCTCAGCGGGGTCCCCGAAGAGGTGCAGCGCGGCTGGCGGAGCGGGGCACCCTGCAGGGAGAGCAGCACGGGGTCAGGGCACAAGGACAGAGCGGGGGCTGTGCGAGCGCGTACGGGACAGCACCCCCGGGGCTCCGGAGGGGACACTGGGCACGAACCGGGCACGAACCGGGCACGAACCGGGCTGCCCACCCCCAGCCGCCCCCGGCTCCCCGCAGCCTCCCCACCCTGCGGGCACCTCCGGGAGCCGCCGAGCCCTTGCTGCCCTTCCCGGCCCCGGGGGCCGCCCCCCTGCCCCGGCCGCCGCCCCCGCGGAGCCCCCGGGCGGCCGCGGCCCGCAGCGGGCCCATGGCGGGGCTGGGGGGGCCTCCACGTGCGTTTTTCCCGGGAAAACACCCCCCAGCCCCGCCCCCGCGCGAGGACCAATCAGAGCCACGCCTGCCCCGCCACAGCCAATCGCAGCCGGGTGTGGGGGAGGGGTTTCGCGCCCTCCCGGCTACAGGAGGCTCCCGGGAGGGGGCGTGGCCTAACAGCGCGGAGGAGCCAATCAGCGCGGGGAGAGGGAGGAGCGGGGAGGTTATCCCCGCCCCTTCTCTCGCGGGTCCTAGAGGCTGCAGCACAAGGCCCTACGGGGCTGCCCGAGCTAAACGCCTGTTCGCGCAAAAAACAAATTTAAGGTAAAATCCGGTTTGGAAAAGCGGAGAAAAATAAAAGAGAGTGATACGAGGAAAGGAGGTATAATAAGGGCTGTCAGAACAGGGTGAGGTGCAGAGTGAGGCGAGCGGCGGGAGCAGGCAGTGCCGAGCCAGCCCCCACGGGCCAGGCCCCGGAGCGGCCGTGATGGCGGCGGCCATGCAGGGGGCGGCCATGTCGCGGCGGGTGCCGGTGGTGGACGTGCAGAGCGGGAACCTGGCGGAGCTGTGGCCCGGGATGCTGCTGGCGCTGCGCTCCGCGGCCTTCATCGCCGTGGACACGGTGAGGGGATGGGGACGGGGGAGGGGAGGGAGCGGGGGGGCTCCGGGGGGCGGCTGACGGCGGCTGACGGCTGTGTCCGTGCAGGAGCTGAGCGGGCTCGGGGCCAGGAAGGCGCTGCTGAGCCCGTGAGTGGGGAGCGGGCACCGGGGGGGGGAAGGGGGGGGTCCTGGGGGGGGTCACGAAGGGCTCCGAGGGGTATCGGGGGGGTCAGGGGGTACCGGGAGGCACCTGGAAGGCACCGGAGGGTCCCAGGGGGGTCCTGGGGGGGTAACGAGGGGCTCCGGGGGGCACCGGAGGGGTAAAGGGGGTACTGGGGGGGTCAGGGGGGTACCGAGAGGGTACCCGGGGGGTAAAGGGGGGCTCCGGGGGGGTCCTGGGGGGATAACGAGGGGCTCCGGGGGAAACCGGAGGAGTTAAGGGGGTACCGGGGGTATTGGAGAGCACTGGGGACTCCCGGGGAGCTCACTGGGAGGTCACTGGGACGTCACTGGGAAGGTACCCGGGGACGCTGGGGGGTACTGGGGGTGGTCCCGGGCTCGGTGTCCTCCCCCCCCCGTTGGGGTTTGGGTGCCCGGTGTCCCGGTGTTACGGCCGTGCCGCCCGCAGGTGCATCGAGGAGCGGTACCGAGCTGTGTGCAGCGCCGCCCGGACGCGCTCCGTGCTGTCCCTGGGCATCGCCTGCTTCAGGCAGCTCCCCGGCAAGGTAACGGGGCGGCCGCGGGGCTGGGGGTGGGTGCTGGGGGCCGCCAGGCTGAGCCCTGGGTGTGTGCGGGGCGCTGACCCCTGCGCTGTGCTCCCCCTCTCCCCCAGCCCGAGCACACCTACCTGTGCCAGGTGTACAACCTGACGCTGCTCTGCACCGAGGAGTACGTGGTGGAGCCGCAGTCGGTGCAGTTCCTGGTGCAGCACGGCTTCGACTTCAACAAGCAGTACTCGCAGGGCATCCCCTACCACAAGGGCAACGACAAGGTGAGGAAGCGCTGCCGGGCGCATGCCCTCACCCTCATCCTTCCCTCACCTTCATGCACCTCGGCGTGCCCTGCTCCAGGCTGCTGGGGAGGTTCTGGCTCCCCAGGATCTTTCCCATGCCTGTTATGTGAAAAAAGGCTCAAAAAAAGGAACCTGAACGCAGCGTATCCTTCTTACCGCTCCTATTTTATATCCAACGTCACTCACAGCAGCTGCTCTTCCAATTATTTGGGCATTTCTTTTATCAGAGCAGGTCGTGGCTGTAGGCAGTGTAGTGCAACAACAGGCCCTGGGGATACCTGGTGTGGCATTAAGTCGCTGTGCTAAGGTTTATTGATTAATCCCTCCTCTTTCAGGGCAATGAGACCCAGAGCCAGAGCGTTCGAACCTTTTTCCTGGAACTCATCCGAGCGAGAAAGCCTCTCGTTCTGCACAACGGCCTGATCGATCTGGTCTTCCTGTACCAGTGCTTCTACGCTCACCTCCCAGACAACCTCGGCACTTTCACCGCTGACCTCTCGGAAATGTTTCCAGCGGGAATATACGACACCAAATACGCTTCGGAGTTTGAGACCCGCTTTGTGGCATCCTACTTGGAGTATGCTTTCAAGAAGTGGTGAGCAGCACACCGGTATTTAAAGCTTTGGGGCGAAAGAGGGAATCAGCGCTTGGTTTATTTTTCCAGGGAAAGGATTTAGGTCTTTGCATTGTTGCAGTGACTGAAGAAAGCAGCTCTTCTGTGATTCCCTTTTTTAGGATGGGCGCTGAGCATGTAAGGGTGCATCTGGTAATTCACTGTTTGGTGGGCAGGAGTGGAAAGAGGATTTCAGTCTTCTGCTGGCAGTAATTGTAACGACAGTGACCTCATTTAATTTTATTTTTTTTAATTTTAATTTTTATTGAACTGAAAACAAGTTGATTCAGTGTGTGGCCCTGATCCAGCAGTGCCACAGGGACACCAGCAGGAACACAGGCAGAACAGAGCAGATTCCCTGTGAACTCAGCGAGGGAGCAGGGCTGTGCCTGCCGAGCCTGCTGTAACCCAGGTTATTTAGTAAGGGAGGTGTTCCCTATCTCCTGACACTGACTAGCTCTGCCACAACTCCTTTTCGTGAGATTCTCACTTGGAGCAGGTTCCCATTCCCATCACTTCCTTCCAAGCAAAGGCTTGCTCTTGTTCCAAGGCTCTTGTCTTGCTTCCTGCCCTCAGCTCCGAGGATATCTTCCAGGTGAACAAATCAGAAGCAGCGGCGTCTGTTCTGTGTGTCAGCCTGAGCCCTGGTTCTGCACTCACTGCACAATCTAAACAAGGCCCTGGCAGTGGTACAGCCCCTGGAATCTGCTAAATTCACACCATGCAGAGCAGAAATGGTATCTTAGTGCCTGTTTTGTATCAGGAAATGCTGTTTTGACAGGTCTGAACATGTTCAAGATGGTTCTTCTCAAACAAAAATACCTTTTTTTTCTGACAGGATGAAAACACTTTTAAAACAGGACTCTTAAAAATGTTTTAACCTGCAGCTCTACTTACCTCCAAAGCTTTTGGGCATTTTAGCCAGCTGTTGGGACAAAATGGTTGTTTTTTCATGAGATGGAAAGCACTTCTGGTGTCTGCATTGCCCAGGTTTGATGTGTCTGGGTGGTGGCTGCTAGATACACCACAACTCCTTGGGCATTTCCCTTTGTCTATTAACATCACCAGGATTAACACATCTGGCTGCCCTGAATATTCAAAACCAAGATAGGTGTCCCCTTCTCCCATAGCTTCACCAATAATAGTGTTGTCCCTGCCTGTATATAAGGGGGAACAGCATTTAAATCAGCACAGAAGGGATTATTTATTGAAGTTCTGTTCCCCGGACTGACTTCCTTTGCAGCAGGCTGTCAAACAGGAGCTAGAGCTCAAGAGCAAGAAAGCAGAGGAGCTGAAAGTTGGTGCAGAGCAATGTGTTTGCACCAGCCCTGCTCTGGGGTATCTTTGAGTTAACCGCGTGCTCTGGTGTGTTCCAGCAAGCGAGAGAACTGCAAGCTGAGGGACTCCGGCAGCCAGCACCTCACCATTGAGTTCTGCAACTACCCCGAGAACATGTCCCACTACATTGACTATCGCCACTGCTCTCTGGAAGAAACAAGCAGCGTGGGAGGGGCAAATAACGTGCCTGTCTGCGAGAAATTTTCGGTAAGTAACGGGAATCCCTGCTTCCTACCTGGCTCTGGGGAAAAAGCCACACGTGTGGCCAGAGCAGGAGGTGGTAGGAGGGCACCTGGGAGCTTCCACTTACTTGCTTCATGATAGAAGGAAGATTTTCAAGCTTTGCCTTTTTGGTTTCAAAGCCACACAACAGCATGCTCTGTTCTGAGGCAGTGAATTTCACAGGTTACATTAGTAGCCAAGATTCAGAGATAATACAGCCCTAAATGGAGGGATGGTGTGAGTTACAGTACCTGCTGCTGCCTTGGGAGGGCTGTGAGTTTGAAAGGAGTTTGTCAATTCCTTTCCTGTGCTGTGGGGCTGTAACTGGACACAGTGCTCCAGGCACAGCCTCATGAGCCCACAAGTAGAGTAGAAAATTACCTCTACTTGGTGTTCTGGGGATAGGCTGCTGTAACCAGGCTGCCAGCGGCTACAGGCTTCTCTCTCTTTCTCCTTAGGCCTACGGCTGGTGTCCAAACGGGGTGAAGTGTCCCCAGTCCCATAACATCGACCTCATAATCGATGAGGACGACAAGGTTTTGGAGAAGCGGAAGAAACGCAAACACAAGTGGAAGCGGCGGAAGAACGCAGAAGAACCCGCAAAGGTGCTTGAACAGGAAAGCTCAGGGAAAGACATGGAGATAGCTCAGAACGGGGAGGAGGGACCGCCGCCAAAGCAGAGCTGCTACGAAGCTGCCGCAGAGGCGGAGGAGATGACACCCAACGATGATGACTGGCCACTGGAGGAGGAAAACTCCACTGCCGTGGCACCAGAGGCCAGCTCAGACCCCAGCACACGTCCTAGATGGGAAGAGGATCTGGGGAGCGCTGGAGAACCTGCTGACATGAGCCCTTCTGCCAAGGGACACGCCTCTGACAGTGACCAAGTGGAGGGGAAGTCAGAGCTCCCTGCTGGAGCAGCCTCAGCCAGGCACCCAGACAGCCCCCAGACTGAAGCAGCGTGTGCTGCAGGAAAGCAAAAGGAAGCCCAGGAGCTCCCGTCGCAGGGGGGCATCCACCGAGCTGGTTTTGATGCCTTTATGACTGGCTACATCATGGCTTACGTCTGGATGCTCAAGAAGAGAAAAAGCACAGACAGTAGCACAGAGCCCTGGTGTCCGGACTGTCACAATAAACTGTACCTCAGCGGGAAATCAGTGCCGCTTCAAATAGTGAAGAGCTCCTTTTCTAAATCTTCCAAAGCTCACAGCCGGAAGATGAAGTTGGCCTGGGACAGCACATAGAGCTAGGGGACTCCTGGCTGAACTGGGCTTTTTCCCCCCTCAGTTGTTAAAGTTCTTTATTCTTTCAAAAATTGACCAGAAAGGGAGCAAGTTTCTTATCTGTGGTTTTGTTTTAACTTCTTGACTAATTAAATTGCTCTGAGTTGGAGTTCTCCCTGGTGTTCCTTAGCAGCACAGGTAAGGTTGGAGGGAAGAGAGGTGCACTTCAGCTGCACCCAGGGCTGCAAGTAGCAGCAGTGATCCCCACTCAAAGTGGGTTTAAAAAAAACAACAGGCTTAGGGTTGTCTTTCTGGAAAGACCCTCTGATAACTCCTTCAGCACAGGTTTCACTTGCAGAGGAAGGGCAATCCCTTGATAATGTAAGAGGAGACAGAGGCCAGAGAACATCCTCCCAGATCTTGCCTTTACCCTTAATATTTGCTGCCACTTAACCCAGTAGCTTAGAGGAAGACAAACCTTTTCAAAAGGACCACGTGCTAAAGGTCAAAATCTACATTATAAAAAGCATGAAAAGGCCCAGTTGTCACATACAATTATTTTGATAGAAAGTGCTATTAATGACTGGAGGAAGATGTGATGCTTCTGTTGCACACCAGAAGGAAGCAGGCTAGTTCTTCAGGCAAAGCACACATTTCCATGAATCTTTAGGCAAGTGTTACTTTTGATACTCCTAATTATTCCGTCTTTCTAAAGAAGTTGAGAAGGAAAAAAGTGTTTTGGTTTTTGTTTGTTTAAAAGCCCAGAGAAGGGTTCCACTTAATACTTGTACTTTTAGTTGTGGTTACAACATAGATGAAACATTTGCTTCTACAGGAAAAAAGTAGAAAGTTGTGCTGGGCAAGGTGATTCTAAGCAACAGCAGGTCTTTTACACTTCTAAATAAGGGACTGAAAGCCAGATGTGCTCCTCTTAAACCCTGGTGCGTTGCTTCCTGTGCTTACCGAAGCTAGGCTGTAGGGCTAGGACACTGCAGTCACCATGGCAAGCTCCCTGCAGGCTGACTGCTATCAAAAGCATCTTGTAGGTCACAAGTTACTGCCTACTCTTCAGAGCACTATAAGGAAGAAAAAAAGGGTTTGAGTCTCATGGGTTGAATAGCGTTAACACTTCAGGAAGATGCAGGAGGGAAGTAACACAATAAGGATGACAGTTCTCTTTGTTTATAACTCAGCAGCACCACCATGAATATCATCTATAGCATTTGAATCAACGTTTGTGTAACCTAGAATTGCCCTCTTAATCACAAGACTCCACCCTTGATTTTATTTTTATTTTGAAAGCAAGATGGGAAAGTTTACAAAACCTGACCAAGAAAAAATTATGAAAATATTTAACTGGATTCATCTTTGGTTACTTCTTATTGCAGTTCCAATAAAACATACACCATTTCTATAGTTCAAAAAAAAAAAGTCAGAAGGTCAATCAACATAAAAACAAGACGTGCTTTCTTTACATATTCATAAATATCCACAATATTAGAAAAGTTGTTTTGCAAAGATTTTTTTTTTCTGGCAGTGTTAACTTACTATTATACACAAGCTACAAACTTCTTCCTAAGCCTTTAATTACAAGTTGAGCTATTTACAGTCTGCAAAATATTAAGACGTAAAACTCCTTCATAAATATGAAAATAGATCATCTTGCAAAGATCTTTATACTTAATCAAATATCTGGCTGCCCCTCCTCCCAAAAAAAAAGGTTATTTGTTTTGCATAGAAATGTAGTGACATGCAATATAAACAATAGCATTAAGTGCAAACAGGAATTATTCAAGTGTCTTTAGTCGTACTGGCAAAAAATACCAATGTTCTGTTACACAACACATTGATGCCTTTCCAGCAAGTAGAAGTCTACTAAAGCCCCTTGTCTGCACTGCTTCTGAGGGGCAGCAACTCACATGCATCCTCTTAGTTGCCTTTTAGCAACCTGCAACCACAACAAAAATAGCTTATAACAGACATGTAAATGAATTCAACATAGAAAGATTTAAAGTGAATTAAAAACATCTTTGATCTCTTCAGGGAACCTAGCAACGTGTAGAAAGTCTTTTAAAAGAGCAAGAATGGCTCCTGTAAGAAAGTCAAAAACCATGATAAAATCCAACCACGATAAAACTTTGTCACATCACTATAAAACAGGGAGTTTGCTGACCACACGTTGGTATTTACGTTCATCAGTAGCTGTCAGAAAATGGCCCCCAGTAGAAAAGCACCTTCAGATGGGCAGAAAACCTAGGAGTACTCGCTAGGTGCAACCTGGATTCAGCTTTGCACAACCAAAGGGATGAGACTTAGTGCCAACTGCATCCAGACCCTTGGAAATGCCGTGCCTGAGCAGGCATTAAGCTGTTTTAAGACGGCCTTTTACTCCAGTGCCTCTTTTCCCATGCAGACCAAGAATGCAGGAAAGGCCTGAGCCTTTGGTATCCCTCGGTATTTCTTTCTGACATCTCCCCCTCGGTACAAACAGCTAGAAAAGTTGATGGATGTGCCCTGTGTCAGCTGGCTGCACTCAGAGTAGACACTTAGGGAAATAAAAATTGAGTCGTGTTGCTCTGTAAGAGATCCATTCAGGGCAGGGAAACGTTTTAAGAGATAGTGCTATAAGACACAGGTGAGGTCACTGTGACGGGTGTTTGAGAGGTACCCCAAGCCTGGCTGCGCAGGCTTTGCAGTCTGTCAGAGGGTAAGAGGCTTCCCAGCAGGGTGGCAGCTCTGAGGAGCAGGGTAATGCAAGCCAGAGGCACGCACCTGCGCTCTGCTGAGGCTGCGGGACTGCTTCCTTGTAGGCTGGGGATCCAGAAGTAAACCATTCCTTATTATTGCTCGTTTGTCTGAAGTCATGCATCTACGTGCATCTTGTGACAACAGAAGCTGGTGCTGGTGGTTTCCCTCCTGAAAGATTAGTTGTGTAAAAGAAAAAGAGGAAGAAAAAAGCAGGCACAAGGCAGGCAGCCAGCCGTCAGTTGAGTTGTGCTGATCGGTTCCCTGTCCTCAAAGGAAATTACACGCACACAGTGCCAGCCCTTCAAGCTGCTCCGTGCTCTGCAGACAGGATACACAAGACAAGCTACTCTACACATCAGCACCTTCAAGGGGCAGAGAGCTGTGAGCCACAAGAGGTGATCTGGGTAAGGATGTGCATTTTTCAAACTGCTGACGGCTGCCTAATGCAGCACAGACTGCTCAGTAACTAAAGGACACTTTCTCATGTAATTCTTTGCAGCCATTACAAGGGATAACTGCTGCTCAGGTTGAGACATTTCACAAGGGAAAGTCATAGTTATAACTCACAGAATAGTTACCTATACCTCCAAAAAGCTCAGTATCTCAGCCAAGAAAGAGCTTAGGCTTTCTTCTTCATCCGTTCCTTGAGATGGGAAAAGAGTAGAAGTCCATCAGGGAGTACCAGCTTACGTTTTCCATCCTTACTTGAGAGCAGGAAGTGTAACAGATTACTTGGATAAAACTCGGGACTTCCAGCCCCTCAGAGCCTACTGTATCAGCTGCTCAGTGAGCATGCAATGCAACCTCAGTTAGGAATGATAATATAGGTTAAAAAAATAATAATAACAAAAACCCCACATTGTTGTAGGCAATAATAGCAGAAGGGCAGGATGTGGAACATCACCACAGAACAAGCTTTCCCATGCATCTCATCCCAGAGTGGGGATCTCTGATACTGGTTCCAGCAAGCAGCTTGGAAGCACGTGCCGCTGCTTCTTTTACAGCTACCTGCTGGTGGATGGAAGGAAAAAAAAAAGAAATAAAGTAGATAATCCTGTTTAGTGACAGGAGAAACTAATGAAGATAACAGATCCTTTCTATACAAGAAAAAAGTAATTGGGGACAAGCTAATTTTCTTAAATTTGACAACTCAAAGCCCTTCTGTGAGTCTACTGTTTCTCCTCCAAAAGCACTCATGGCTGCAACACTGCTGGCAGCTTCCCTTGAGCAGGGGATTCCTGTCCTTCATCACACAGTCTGCTTTTAATTAAGAACCTATAATTACCGTGCTGGCACTAATGAGATAGGATGTCCTACCAGAGAGGGAAGTTAACATGTCCCTTCTACCTTAGTGATGATGGTCAGCTGTTAATCTAGATGCTGTATTTAACTGTTCTGCCGCAAGAGATCATGCTCTCCATTCAGCTCTTCGAAGATAAAAAGCCCAGGAGCTCAGAACTGCTACTTTCACTGGCAGTTTCTCAAGAAGCCCAGAAATGACAGCACCTGGAAGGTGGCTCCCCTCTTGTGCCCTGGGCAAATCTTCCTCCACATCTGGGACACACAAAGAGCTGTGCAAGAAAGCGGTGCTCAGTGTCCTGCTTCCCTGCACTAATGAATCATTAATAAATCCCAAGGGAAACGAGAAACACCAGGGAACAGGTTGTTCTTGTTAATTGGAAAGTACTTATCATGTGACTCAGCCTGCAGACTGCAACCAGCGTGAGGGCTTTTGTTTCTGAAAGAAGAGCTTGTTTAATGCTGCAGCACAGTTCTAAGAGATCCCTGTGCCCGTTTCCAGAACGGAGGCTCTGATTCGTGTGTACTGCTTGCAGAATGCTAATGCAAACCCTGCAGTAGTTTAGAGCAGCTGGTCAGTCAGAGGAAAAGGGAAAACCTACAGTTCGCTCTTTCTACCCCATGTGGAACTTAAGGCCTTGAAATGCTCCATGCTGGAATCCAGGTCAAACTCTTTGCTTGGTGCCTGCTTCTCGCTACTACCGCTTGGAAGGGACTACGGGGCCCGCATGGACGTTCTGGCTGGAGTAGTTCCCCCTCCTAAAGTAAATCAGGAAGGAAACATAGCTTGAAATAAAGTTAAAATAATCAGTCTCTCCAGATGCTGTCCGCAGCTGTTTGACAGCCCATTCTTACCATCTGCTGGGTCTCTTGAGTATGAAACCCAGCACCACAGAGAAACAGAGTTTAAGTGACTGGGAACAACTCAAGGACGTGTTCGGTTTGAGCCCTCTCTTCATATGCCACAAGTTGACTGCGTGCTGCCACTTGCTGAGTTGTTGGAGGTCTGAGACAATGGGGCAGTGCTGTCCCCATCGTGCTCCCTGAAGGGCCGTGCCTCTCTCCTCGGCGCCGTGGAAGGACCAACACTGAACAGAGGCTTTGTAGACTCCAGCGGTGTAT